TCCTGGGTGCCCTCATCGGAACAAGAGGGCAGCAACCTCCCACTGTGGAACAGTTGTGAGGAGGAATGTAGTATGCACTTGGCACATAATAATTGCTCAGTGAGCAGCCAGATGTATAACATAAACCAGCCATCCTCGCTGGGCCCCTCAACTCACCTCCCACTCATTCATCTCTCAGTCCACAGCAAGGTGGCTTTTGCTGGGAAACAAAAAGGTTTTGGCTGGGCCCCTGCCCAGGACACCGGGACCCGTGTGCTGCCTGAGCCACGTGTGCTCTCAGGCCTCAAGCTTCTCACCCTCCACAGCACTGACCCTATGGCCACCCTGTCCTCTGGCTCCAGTTGCATAAATGCATACATTTATTGGCTTAGTTTCCCCCTAGAACCCCTGGGCTGTGGGCCTACACACACCAGTGAGCCTCTGAGCAGCTCTACCTGGGCATCTGCTGGGCACCTCCCACTGGACACCTCCCAACCCACACTCGCCTTCTCCCTTCTCCTCCATGTCACACCACCACTCCCTACCTCTCCTCCAGCACGTCTTCGCTGCTGGCCCCAAAACACATAAGCCCCCTGGCTTAGCTTCTTATCGCTCTGTGACACACCTCCACAAACACATTCCTGAACTCTCAGTTCTGGAGATCCCAAGTCCTACAATCAAGATATGAGCTGGACTGCGTGCTTTCTGGAGGTTCCAAGAAAGAATGTGTTTCCTTGACCTTCCTGGTTTTTACAGGCTACCTGCCCTTCTGGGCTCCTGGCTCCTGCCAGTATTTCCAAGGTCAGCAGGAGAGCATCTTCCCATCTCTGGTCTCTGACCCTGATTCTCCTGCTTCCCCTTATAAACACGCATGCCATTACATTCGGCCACCGGGTAATCCAAGACCGTTTCTCCATCTAAAGATCCTTAATATAATCACATATGTAAAGTCCCTTTTGCTCTATAAGAAAACACAGTCACAGATTCTGGGGATCAGGACATGAGCATCCTTGGGGGGGGGCATTATTTGGCCAACTATCCTTATCCCCCTCCATCTGCTCCAAACCTCTAGGATATTTCTCCCGTGACAGAAAAAAAACAAAAAACAAAAAAAAAAAAAACCATGCTGACCCACCTCCTTCCCATATCCAGTGTCTCCATCTGAACATTCTCAGGCAATATAAAAACCGATCCATCATGCCTTATCTCTACTCTAAGACTCCTTCACTGGGTTCCTTAAGAGTGTTCAAGTCTGTCCTTAACAAACTCATTCGACCCCATGTCTCCCTCCAGCCATCACCCTGCTTATGTCCTGTCTCTCTCCTTCCTTATTATCTCTAAACTAGAGGCCTGGTGCATGGAATTTGTGCACAGGGTGGTGTCTCTCAGCCCAGCCTGTACCTCTCCAATCTGGGACCCCTAGAAAGATGTCTGGCTGCCCTTTTAGGCCCGATCCCACCAGGCCTAAATGGGCAATCGGACATCGCTCTCACAATCTAGGAATGCTGGCTCCCAACCTCTCACCTGCCTTCCTGCCTGATTGCACCTTACCACTTCTACCTGCCAGCCTGATCACCCCCTAACCACTCCCCTTGCCAGCCTGATCAATGTCTAACTGCTCCCCTGCCAGCCCGATTGCCCCTAACTACCCTCTCCTGCTGGCCTGGTCACCCCTAACTGACCTCCCCTGCTGGCTCAGTCTACCCCTAACTGCCCTCCTCTGCTGGCCTGATCGCCCCCAACTATCCTCCCTTGTAGGCCTGGTCCCACCCAACTGTCCTCCCCTGCCAGCCATCTTGTGTCCACACGGAGGCAGCCATCTTATATGTTAGAGTGATGATCAATTTGCATATTACCTCTTTATTATAATATATAGGATCAATCATCTGAGAAGTGACTCTACGGCTCACCTCCATCCTAATAAGGTTTCCATCTCATCACTCTTCTGCGGTGGCTTTCCTGTGCAGTACTATTGGCATTGGAGGCCAGATCATTTTTTGTTGCAGGAGTGCACTGTGAAACACTGAGCAGCATCCTAGCCTCTACCTTCTAGATGCCCATGGCGTATCCCCATACTGAGTTGTAATGGCCAAAAATGTCTCCAGACTTTCCAAATGTCCCATGGTGGAGGAGAGCAGAGCAAATGACTCCAGACTGAGGACCATTGTATTATAGTAAAAGCTCTTGCTAAAGTCACCAATGACTTCCCTGACATGAAATCCCATGGACACTATTAAGTCCTTCGTTTGCTTGGCTTCTCAGAAGAATTTGACATCATTAGCCATTCTGGGCTCCTACCCGCAGGCTGTTCTTTTTCTGTCTCCCTTCCAGCATCAAGCAACCCTTCTGAATCACTAACAGTTGACATTTCTCAAAGCTAAGTCAAAAGCCCTCTCCATCTCTCACTCAGCCTGTTCTCCCTGGAGATGCCCTCCATACCCTGACCTCTCTAACTATTTCTGCCTAGGTGATTTCAGAAGTGACACTTCTATACTTCCTTTCAAGGTCTAAACCCTCATATCAAAATGCCTACATGACATCATCACTAGGATATCTTGATGTCACTCTAACTCAACAAGTCCAAAACCAAGATCTTTCCCTCATCCCAGACCCCCTCTGGCAATTCCCATTACTCAGAGAAAGGCACCATCCCTGGAGAGGAGCCTGCAGGAGTTGTTCTAGACGCTTCCCTCTTCCTTACTTAGGCAATTAATTTATTTCCAAGTCAAGTCTCTTTCATCTTTAAAACAGTTCACAAACCACTTCATGTGTTTCCATGTCTCTGCTCCGACCCGAGCTCAAGCCTCTGATATTGTCGACCTCAAGAATAACCACGCACTCTAAACAGGGTGTGGGCATCCATTCTTGACCAATGCCCTCACCATCCCCATCAGTTCTCCATGCTGTGGCCAAAGTCACCTTTCAGAACAGAAAAAAAAAACAAAAACAAAAAACAAAACAAAATAAAACAAAAAAAAAAACTTTCTTGATTGTCCTTAAACTAAAGAACAAAAGTCCCAATTTGGAATGCTGGGCTCTACAATGGCCAAGTCTTCATCACCTCTTCCAGGTCCCTGTGTTGGCTCCACGCCAGGCACACTGGCCTTCTTCCTGTTGCTCAAAAATGCTGTGCTCTCTCTGGCCTCAGGGCTTTGCTGTTTTTGGATGCCCGCATCAATCTTCACCTGGTTGGTATTCTCTTTCTTCCCTGACCTCTGGCCACATACATTTTCTTGGTTGTTCGCTTTCCTCTTAGCCACTCGCTCCATTACCTCCCAGAGTCCTAATTTTCTATTTATATTATTCTTTCACCCATTCCCTCTTCGCTACGGTAAACTCTATGAGGGCAGGACCAATGTCTGATCAGGCCTGCCATTGTACCCCAGGGCCAACCCATCACCCGTCACAAAGGAGATCATCAACAAGTGTTTATTTAATGCATAATGACTGATCTTTCTACCCCTTAGCCTGCCTTTCTCTACTGCCCCATATCCCCCATCTCTGTTCAAGCTTGACTCCTAAGAGTTGTCTTAGATAATTCTTCCTCTTTATATCTTTGAAAACCCTTCTTCCTTACCTCCAGATCCTATTTATCACTAAATCTTGGAGATTCTCTCTCCTAAATCTCTCTCAAATATGCCCATGTCTAGCACCTGCATTTAAACCACCATCTTTCCTTACCCCCATCCCAGCTTCCCACTTACAATCCCAATTTTGGAGTCATGCCTCTGCTTGAAATGCTTCAATGGCTTCCCCTGGCCCACAGAAGGGACGATACACCGACCCTGACTTATGAGAGGTGGTCCCTGTCTCCCTCTCTTTCTTATTTACTTTTTAATCCTCACCCAAGGAGTAAGAATATTTTTTCATTGATTTTTAGTGAGAGTAGAAGGGGGAGAGAGAGAGAGACACATCGCTGCGAGAAAAACACATCAACGGTTGCCTCCCATACCACACATACCCGACAGGCCTGGGGGTGGGGACTGGACCTGCAACCAAGGTATGTGTCCTTGACCAGGAATTAAACCTGTGGCCCTCCAGGGCATAGGCCCATACTCTACACATGAGCTACTCTGGCCTCGGCTCCCTTTCCTTGCCATGCTGCCTCCCAGATTCCTCGCTGTTGCCACACAGGACTTCATGGGATGACTCTCTCAGCTGTTCTGTCTCCGGGGAGCATTTTCCCATCCCCTTCTATTACTGCTCTTCACTCTTCCAATCTCAGGCTAAAGAAAGTCTTGCCCAAACCCCGTGTATAGGCGAGCAATAATAATAACAGCTGATATTCTCTGAGTACTTACTAAGGGCAAGCATAACTCTGAGATCTTTACAGTTTTGACTCATTTAATCTTCACCATCAACTACAATTATCCTATTACGAACAGGCACAGAGAGTTAAATGACTCGTCCAATGTCGAGTAGATAGTAAATAGCAACGCTAGGTGACATAATGTACTTGGGCTCCAGGGCCCAAATTCCCGAACACTGTGGACACTGCCGCTTCCCGCTGCCCCCTTCAGTAGCAACGATCACATATGCAAGTACTTGTTCAATGCCTGCTCTCCCTGCTCCCTGGAGGCAGGGATCCTGTCTGTCTTCTAGAAGGCTTTACCTCCAGCAACCAGCCCAACACCTAGCATTACTGCTTTTTTTTTAAGCTGAATGTCATGCTTTGCATCCCCACAGTCCCCAGCTCCAAGTCCCCAGCTCCATAGGAGGGCGAGCACAAACCTTTCGTAAATGCCACCGAATGGCCCACCAGACACCCACGAGGAGGATTCACAGGGAAATCGCTCCACCACGCATTCTGCTGACTATGGCCAGCTGAGCTCCTCGGCATGGACCTCAGCCACCAAGGGTGGCAGGCACTTAGCTAGCACGAGGGGACAGCAAGACCACCACTCCGGGAATGATGGCAAAACGCTCTGGAGCCAGGCAGGGCCAGCAGACGGCTCCCCCTGCTGGTTCCCTTTCATGTTCCTTGGCACCCTCTCCCATGGCACTGCCCAGGGGACACTCACCAGCCAAGAGAAGAAGCCAGCCGATTTGTCTTGGGTGGAGATCTGTCCCTCGTAAGGGCCAAAGATGTGGCCTTTGGGGATAACCTCATTTATGCACCGCACGTCATTCTCCCCATTGGCGTCCTTGACCACCTCCATGCCCTGTGGGATGGTGAGGGCGGCCCGGTCTGGTAGGCCCACAGGTACCGGCGTGTCAGACACAAACACCGGGGGGCCATGTTTCGGGCATTCATCCACAAAGTACTCCTGACAGGACTCGCAGACTGGAGGGAGAAAAAGAGGAGGAATTCGGTTGTTGGGGGAGGTAGGACCCCCATGCAGGAGGCTGAAGGGCTGATGGGAAGCCCACCCCGAGACCAGCAAGGGCAATGGAAAGCACTGCCTGGCACTCCTGAGCCCAGCCCTGGCCCCACCCCAGCCAGCGACGGCCCCCGAGTCTTCAGTAGCAATAACCCAGTCTCTTCCCTGGGGGCTCAAGGACATGCCTGCCAACAAGGAAGCCAGTAACTGCCTTTGTTTCAAGTTTGAAAAAGTGGAAGAAAGAGCATGCTCTGGAACCAGATCGCTCTGGGTTTAAATGCAACTGTGCATCTGTGGGCTGTGCAACCTGGAAAATGCCTCAGTCTCCTGACCTGGAAAATGGGACCAATGACAACCATCTCAAAGGCTAATGGGGCGGATTAACTGAGGCATGAACCTGCGCCTGGTGCGAAAGAGATGAGGGCCTATCATTAGGATTATAGCCCTGCTAATTCCCTGAGCGAGACGGGGTCAAGGGTTCGGGGTGAAGGGAGAAGCCCAGGAAATAGCCCCAAGCTCCACTTACACCAGAAGTCCACTTGCTGGAAACTTTTGGGCACGATGAGGTCACGCTTCCCCTTCAGTCTCTTGGGCTCCACTTCCATGGCCGAGGGGTCTGGTCTCCTAGAACTGTCCGGGACACGGGCCATTAAAGAAAGCAAAGAAGCCATCGGAAAGGGAGAGGGCGGCGGTCAGAGAAGCGGAGGGACCTGGTCCAGAGGCCACAGGGACTGGGCAGGAGGAGGAGCCTGCCTGTGCAGGGGTCAGTACAAAGGTGGAGAGGGAGGTGTCCTGAGACCAGGGCCCAGGCCTTCTTGGCCACTGATTGGTGTTCTCTAAAGCCTGTGCTCACCTCGGGTCCTAAGAGCTGCATGGAGCAGTGTAAGGAACGTGGGCAGGGAATGGGAGCTCTCCGTAGGGTCTCCCACCAACCCGATCCACCCAGCCAGGGATTCCCCCCTTCTCCCTCTCCTGTCCCCACCAGGCGCCTCACCAGGGCTGGCCATACTCCTGGTCACGGAGAGGTGAGCAGACTTCTGTCTTCACCACAGTCACCATGTCCCCCACAGCTGCCTTGGTCTGCGCCAAACACTCCTTCATGTTCTCAGTCATTCTGTTCTGGGGATGGGAAGGCGGGACCAGCGCAGGAAAGGGATCAAAGAGACAGGGGAAGAGGGGTGAGCAGTGGAGAGGGCAATCGGGGGTCCCGGGGAATCTGGTTACCCTCCCTGCCATCCCCAGAGGAAGCTCTTGAGAACACAGACAACAAAAACAGCTGTAGCCTGGCCAAGAGGAAATGCCATTTCTATCCCGGGCTGGTCCTGGGGACGACTGGAGCCACCAGCCCCATGGGGTCAGGGGCCAGGGGCAGCTCAGGCCAGGAAACTGGGCTGGATAGCACAGCCTGGACCCCAAAAATCAAAGGGAAAAGGGTCTGAGGACCCCGCAGGAGCCTCTGAACAAAACTCTGCAGCTGGGAGCTGAGGAGGGATCAAGTCCAGCGGGGCAGGTTGGTGAATGGGCCCCCGTTGCCTCCAAACAAGCCCCTAGCCCTGGGGCTGGCAGAGAATGCAGCCAGGCCCGCTTTGCCAGCTCAGAGCAGGTACAGGTGGGGTGTGGGGGTCCCCGTGTGGGCTGGCCCTGACTCCAAAGCTCCACCCTGCGATCTCCAGGGGAGTCTCCCCAGTTGCTGCTTACCGCCCTCTTCCACCACAGCGCCGGGCTCCAGCCCCTCCTCCCTCAGCACCCCGAGATCCTCATGCCAAGCCAGGGTGACTCTCCGGGTCAGCGCAGCAGCGCGCAGCTCGGGCTGGGACCGCGCTGGCCCCGGGACTGGGCGAGCACCGTGTGTGACTCACTACTCAGGGCCCCGCTGGCCACACCCCTGCTCCTCGGCTAATCAGCCCCCTGCTCCCCACCGGGGGCCCCAAAGCCAGCGGCGGCGGAGCGGGGTGTGGGGAAACGGGACGGCCTGCCCCCTCCTCTGAGGAGGCGGCGAGGGCTGGGGGCGCGCGGAGGGGGGCGGGGGCAGCCCCAGCGGGGCCGACCTGCCCCACCGCTGCCCCCGGAGCTCGCGGGTCGCCCCGGCCGCGTGTCGGCGGCGGGGAAAGTGTGATGATGGGTCGCGGTCCGGCAGGGGGGGCCGCGCACGGACCGGCCCCGGGGGCGGCGCGGGGGGCCGGGGAGGGAGGGCGCGGGCTGGCTCCTGCACTCTCACCAACCTTCCCGGTGGGGCGCTCCCTGCCTCCCCGGCCCGGCCCAGCCCAACGCCCGCCCCCCGCCCGCCAGGCCCGGCATTCCTTGCGGGGGCATGTGGCTTCTTGCCGGCCCCGGGGGCACGCAGTTGGCTGGCGGCCGGGAGGGGGGCGCGCGGGGAGCGGGGAGGAAGCGAGCGCCCGGGAGGGGCGGGGTGGGGGGGCGCTGCTGGGAGGAATTCCAGCCCCTCCCGAGGGCTCGGCCCCCACGCGGGCCCCGGGGAGGGAGGGATTGGGGGGCGCGGCGGACGGGCGCCTGGTGCGGGTGATATCGCGGGGAGGCTGGGCCCCGTGGCCTGCGGGTGGAGGAGCAGGTCTGCAGGCCTCCGCCGCAGCTGACCCACAGGGACTGCAGAGCCGCCTTCAGCGCCCCCGCAGCGGCCACTGCCACCCAAGGGTGGCGCCCCGCACACAAGCCCCCTTCCCCACCTGTGCGGCCCAGGGTGCTTCCTCCTCCCCCCCCTCCCAGCGTCTGCAAGCTCACCTGCCTCCCTCCCGCCAGACCAGCGGCTTCAGGGTCGCTAGGTGCTAGGCCGGCCTCATTGCCCATGGGTGAACCCCAGCCACCCCTAAGAGGCAGAAACCTAGGGCAGGAAGGTGTCAAGAGGCTTGCCCATGGGCAAGCAGTCCACTGTGGGTGCAGTCTGGACTGGAGCCTGTGGGGCCCCTCGGAGTACACTGGAAACAGAACCCCCAAACTCAAGCGTGAGGTTTCAGGCCGGGTTTTCCTTCATGCCATACCCTCCACCTGGATCTCCTGGGGTGCGTTCAGGCCTCAGCCCACATGTCCAGCTGCCAGGCAGGAACCAGACCCAGTGGATTGGGAAGGGGTCGCGAACACCCTGCCCAGGGGAGCGCTCTCTCTTGGATGGCAACGTTCACAGCACAAGCCACCTGAGGCCATTCCTCTGGTAGTGAGAAGCCTGGGTTCAAATCCCACTGGTTAGCTGTGTGCCCCTGGGCAGGTGCTATGGACTGGATGTCCCCCCTCCCAACGTACATGTTGATGCAGGAAGGCCCAATCTGCCTGGAAGGAATTCTGGTTAAATGACGTCATAAGTGAGGGGCCCTACTCCAATAGGGCTGGTGCCCTTATAAAATGAGGAGACCCCAGAGCTAGCTCTCTCCAGCAGGTGAGGACAGTGGACAGGTAGCCATCTGCAAACCAGGTGGAAGAAAGTTCACCCAATTAGCATCTTTCTTTTGGACTTCCCGGCCTGCAGAACTGTGAGAACGAAATGTCTCGTTTAAGCCACCCAGCCTGTGGCGTTTTGTTATGGCAGCTGAGCTAAGACAGCAGGTTATCTAACCTCTGCGCAGATTTCCTCATCTGGAAAATGTGGCAAGTATTAGATTCTGTCACAGACATTTCCGTATCAGAGGTGGGTTTGAAAGGAGCTGTGCAATTCCACGGAAGAAAGCTGAGCAGGAAGGTGGGCAAGAGGGACATCCTAAAGGGGAGGGGGGAGGACTCTGAATTCCCTCCCCTGGGTTGGATTTGCTCTTTTTTTTAAAGCCGACCACTTGCACACGCTGGCACTCTATTAGAAACAAACTGCTCAGGACCACTTGCATTGGGCTCCCCTGCTTAGGCCCTGCTGCCCCCCACCAGACCCACCTGTGTGCCATGCTCCACCCAGCCATGGAGCCTGTGGACTTGCTGTGACCTCCACCTGCACGCGCCTGGAAACTCCAACCCCATCCTTCAGCTCTCACTGCCCTGCCTTCCCATCCCCTCCCCATCACACACATACCCAATACCCTCTCCAGCCTCATCTGCCTTTCTTCATGGCACTTGTCACACTTAGAATGGTCTTTCATTAGCCTGATTGATTAGTATCTGTTTCTCATAAGAGATTATAAGCTCCCCAAGGGCAGGGTGCAGGGCAGGCCCTTTGCCCACCACTGAAGTGCCTGGCACCAGGGCAGAACTAGCCAGAGATAAGCCAAGTGCTAGGGCATAAACTTGAAGGAAGCACCCCCTCTCAAGGTCATGTTTTGAATCTTCTCTGCCAGGCCATGTGGGTGATGCTGGCATCCAGAGGCAGTGAGGTGCAGTGGAGAGTGGGATGGAATGAGACTCAGGAGACTGAGAGCCTGATTTTGATAAGTATAATCTCTGGGGCCGAGGGCACACACCTTACGCTTTCTAGGCTTTGGTGCCTTCCTGATATAAAGGAAATGACCATAATTGCCAGGTTAATCCCACAGGAATAAACGAGATAAAGGCAGGGTCAAGGCCAAGTGCTCTGGGTTTATATGTAATGTTAGCATTAATCCAGAGGCAAGGGGATGGGCAGGAACAGGAGAGAGGACACAAGTGTTGGAGTAGAAGAGAGACTATAAAGGAAGGAAGGGAAGAGACAGATAAGTAGGTGATAGCAAGAGAATAAAAGATGGAGGGGAAGAAGGAGGAAAGAGGAAAGTGGAGAGAAACAACTAGGTGGGAAGAGAAAGGAAGACAGAGAAGACACAAGGCACACAGACATTTTTCTAAGTCTTGCATGGTCCCGGGAAAACCATTCCCTTCTGAGGAAAGCATTCATTTGTATCTCCAAGTAGGGAGGTCTACAGGCCACTTCCTTTCATGTCTTATTTCTCCTTTACAGCCCACCATCACATAAAAGAATCATGATGATTTAAAACACTATCACATACTAGAGTGATGCCAATTATACCAAGAATCTGTTTTTGAGATAGTGACCTAGCTTGTCAGTCAGCTCTGAGCCTCCTAGTAGCCAAAGCAAAAAGGGAAAACATGATGGGTTGCTTAGTACTCATTTGACACCCACTGACTGTCTGAACAATTAAGTTCTCTCCATTCTTAGAGGACTCCAGTTGCCTAGAGAACCAGGATCAAGCCTCATTTGCATGACTGATATGCATTATAACTCTTTTCTGTGTCTGTAAGGAAGGCCAGAGGGACTGGGGAGAGGGGAAGGGGAGGGGGGAAATGGGATGTGGGAGGATCAAATGAACTTCCATTTAGGAAGAGAGAGAATATGGACTTCACTGAGTCTATCTCAGCAGGCACTGTAAGGCCTGAGCAGGTGAAGCTCCAGAAACCATTTCTGCAGGCTGCTCTGACCCTGCTTGACCAGTGAGGGACTTGGGGGAGGGGTGGTGGGTGGGCCTCATGGAGGACTCCAAGCTGCTGGCAATGCTCCCTCTAGCTGGCTCCTCTGAGTCTGGACATGCAGAGATTAGGCATGTTGCAAACCCAGCAATGAGATGCAAACCAAGAGGAGGGGGCCGAATGTGGCTCAGGAGTCTGCAGCTCTGTTTTCACCTTGGCAGCATGCCAGGGTCCTGGAATGCCCAGCAGCCAGTGTGGCCAGAGGCCTGGGAGTCTGTGCCCACTTGGTTTCCCTGGAGGCTGGCAATATGAGACTCTGGCAGGTCTGTTCTGGTACCACCGCAGCATCCTCTGTTTGTGCCCTCTGATAACAAAGGAATAGGTTAGGGGCCTGGCCAAGTCACACACGGACCTGGGTTGGGTGTCCTGAGCATGAGGTGTCAGTGCTGGCTGTTCCATAAACTCTTTAAGTGGCCCAGAGCAAGATCTTGCCTTGCCCTGAGCCTCTGTTCCCCTTCCTGAAAGATATAAGGTGGTTCTTGACAGTAAATCATGGGAGTAATGCGGGGAGAGCATGTGATTGTTACAAGGAGTTGTTGAATAGAGAGAGAAAAAACTATGACTTAAACTTATATATAAGATAGATTTGCAAGTATATGCAGATACTTTTGTGATGAAGAAAAGATTAAATTATTAAAAAGTGTTACTGAACCAGGCCTGTGTAGCTCAGTTTGAGCATCAACCTATGAACCAGGAGGTGATGGTTTGATTCCCGATTAGGG